GGGGTGGGCGGCAGAGTTAAGGAAAGCTCCACGAAGGGGCGGAAACGACTGGGAATTAGGGGCTGGGCTCAGGTTGGCCCCCAGCTCCCAGCACGGACCGCCCCCCGCAGTCGCCCGGCTGCAGTCTAGGCCCCGGCTCTAGCGGCAACCCCCACACCTCTCCCAGTCGGGGAAGGCGCGCGCCCGCAGACGCCCTCCGAGAGGCCGCTGACAGGGTGGCCCGCCCACCGTGACCGCGCACGAAGCCCGGCGCTCCCAGACGTGGGGGGATTTCTGGCCCGTCCAGACCTCCAGCCTGGGGAAAGCCGCGGGCAGACCGGCCCGGGACGTCCCGGGCTCCTCAGACCCCCACGCCCCGCAGGGCCGCCGCGCACAGCCCCAGCCCGCCCGCAGGTCCGGAAGGCCGCGCGCAGCCGTCCTCGGGGGTCCCGATGCTGCGGTCTACCAGGGCAGCAGCCGCCGAGGCAGCTGGCTCCAGCCGGGCGGCGGGGCTCACCTTTGTCGAGGGACGCCAGCTCGTCTTCCACCGTCCAGTCCGAGCGCTCAGGCTCAGGCGCCACAGCCGCCGGCCCTAACCCGCCACCCGCCAGCAACCCGTCAGCCATTTCAAATTTCCGCGGGCCGCCTCCTGGCTCAACGTCGTGCAGCGGAGTGGCTTCCGATTGGACAGGGGCCGGAGCGCCTGGACCAATTACAGAAGGCCTGCGCCGCCAGTCTGCCGCACAGGCTCCGCCTCCGCCAGCCTTTGAAGGCCCGTGACAGCGCCCGGGCGCCACCTCCTGGCAAGGCGGACCGGCGGCCTCGTCCCAGCTCAGCGCTTGGTGTTTCTGAACCAATTGGGACTCATGTGAATTGTGACCCAAATGGGATGATTTTCAAGAAGCTAAATGGGATATAGAGGAAAAGTACACGATGGGGAAGCACAAAGTAATACTGTTTAACCGTCGTTCTGCCACAGTATTACTTCGGCCCGTTTATTTCGTCTCTGGTACTGCAGTGTCTTGGCCAACTGGCACCAAACCCCCTTACACCACCAGGAGTCAGCCCCCTTCTGTCTCCCGCCCTTCCTCCCATCAGTCCCTTCCTTTCGCTGTCTAGCCACACACACACATACTTTCAAAAGTCAAATTTAGTAAGTGAAAGTGAAGGAATGGAGGGGGTGGCTGATGCAGGCCTGAGCAGGGCTGGACTGGGGGGGGGGGCACCCACCCTTCCACACCCCACCCCACCCCCCAGAGTGCAGGATGGGTTGAGGAGGGACAATGTGCATTTGGGGTTGATTGGATGATGGGAGTGGTGTGGCCCAGGCTGATTGGATCTGGGGCACCAGGAAATGAGACATCTATTCCTGGAAACCTGTCATTGGGTGGTGGAACTGTGACCCAGGCTGTGATGTCTGTTAATCCTTGAATCCATTTGCTAGGTTGAATCTGCGCGGGCTCTGACGTATGTAAAGGCCAACAAGGCCAATATATTCCCTGACTTTCCTTTGGTCGGGGTCTTGCCTGAATCCTGCGTGTCCGGCAGGGAACAGCTTGACCCTGGCTAGCCAGCCCAATAAACTCTACTTTGCGAATTGCATTCTTGCGTCACGCTCTGTCTTTCGAGGTAATCGAGTTCTCGGACCCTAACAAAAGTATGTTTTACCCATATTAATTATCAAAGGCAACTATAACTCCAACAATAACAGTTAACATTCAGAGTGTCTACAAGGCACCTTCTTGCATGCTTTACCTGCTTCATCCCACTCGACAGTCAAAAAACACGAGTCAAGAAATATTAGCCCCATTTTACAGATGAGGAATTGGACTCACTAAAAAGCAAAGTACCTTGCCTAGTTTAACCAAGTACAGTCAGGATGAGAGGCCAGCCACACTCCAGAAGCCCGCCTTACACCTCCACCAAACCAGAACTAGAAGGCCCACTGATAGTGCCCAAGTAAGCGACAGGACCATTGGCTCTTTCAACTGCCTGCTCCACACAATGCAGCCACAGCAGTTGCCCCGCAGAACTCTTATGAACGGTGTAATTCCTGGATTGTGGAATGGACCAATCAGGTGCAAGCTATGAGCTGATTGGTGCTAAGTGGCCCAATCAGACTTTTGCTCCCAGGACTCAGCCTGTCACATGTCAGTTGTGGCGGTTAGTCCTTAAGCCCCTTTTATGTAAAGTTCAACTCCTGGGTTGTGGAAGGGAACAATCAGGCAGTATGCGCTGATTGGTAAATGGCCCAATCAGCCACAGGATTGAAAAATGGTCTAATCAGACTTGTGGGTGGGGCATCCTAAAAGAGGATATAAGCCAGGGTGGAGACCACATCAGCCCTGAAAAAAAGAAGACAGTTCCAGACTCTGAAGGAAGAAGAACAGGGAAGATTCCATTCCTGGGAAAGAAGTGTCCAGCAGCACACTGCCAAGGAAGGAAGAGGGGCTGATGATGTCTGTGAGAGACCAGGCCTCAGTTCTGTCTTTGACCTTGCCTGGAAGAATCACCAAAGGCCCTGGTGCCTCAAAAAGCTGTTTGTTGTTGATATAACCTGACCATTCACAAAAGGCTGTTAAAAATGGGTGTCTGTGACATCACCTCTGAGGGAACAATAGTGACCATCACTACTGCCCCACAAAAGGCTATTAAAACTGGGTGTCTGTGACATCACCTCTGAGGGAACAATAGTGACCATCACTACTGCCCAGTGCTGTCCAGCACTCCTGGTGACCAGTGACAACCATCTCTGATGCTACCTGTTGAGGAAGCTGCCACTGGTTGATACAGTGAGGTCTTTGTTTCCCCTGTTTGTGAAGTAAACCCCATGGTTGTTCCTGGAGCCTGAGGTCTCTGGCAACTGTGCATAGGTGAAAACCCACAGAGAATGACCTGTCCTCTCATCAGGCATGGTCCTTTGCTAGGCTGTAGCCCATAGGCGCCCAACTGTGTGGGTGTTATGCTGCTATAACCCTTGGTTTTGGTTTTTGGCCTTTAGGCTTTTGGTGACTGTCTGGTCTCAGAGCCCAAGCAGGTGGGTGTCCATTCCATTGTTCCATCCAGCTTCCTGCCTTGTTTCCCTTTTGTGGCCCTCTGCCACTGTTTCAAACCATGACTACTCATGTTAGGCCCCTAGGCTCCTCTGTCTGGGTCTCAGACTCACCCTGGACCCAGAAAGGAGGGCAGGCAGATAACATTCCTGGTGCCAGCTCCTGGAACTGGCTGAAACTAGACCCTGATATCAGCTCCTGACTCATGACTGAGACATCTGTTCTTAGAAACCCGTCTTTGAGTGCTGTGAAGTTTGTTACTCTTTGAATTTGCACCGGCTATGATGTATGTAACGGCCGATAAGGGCCTATATATTCTCTGACATTCCTATGGTCTGGGTCTTGCTCTCCTTGTGTGGCCTGCGGTCCTGCAGGAAGGCTTGACCCCAGCTAGCTGGCTTAATAAACTCTGCTTGCTTGTGCATCTCTGGTCCTGTTCTTTGTCGCGGGGGACAACCGGGTGGTTTCAGACCCTAACACTCAGAAGGTCCACTGATAGTGTAGCCCAGAGTGGACTTGGGCTGCCTCTCTGTAGAGCCTCACCTGCAGCTCAAAATGGAATTTTCTGCAGGCACACACAGAAAGGTAATGGGTTTATTTACAAAAAGGGGAAAGGAAAAGGAAACAACTCAGGGAAAGAGAGAGGGATTCAAAGTAGCTGGAATACTTTACCAGGTGGCTAACTTGGAGCTCTAGTCCAAAGCTAAGGCTGATAGCCCCTAGTCACACCGTTTGAGGAGCAGTGGCTCCAGAGAGAGAGAACCATTACCTCTCCAGCGTGTCAGTCGTGTCAGTTGGAAAACCACTCCCTATTTATCACCAAAATTCCCAGAATTCCTGCTTAGCTCCACCCGTAGGTCCTTGCAGTTCTCTCCTTGGAGCTGCTGGGAGTTGTAGTTTTCCAATCACTGGAATAGGGGTTGGAATCCAGAAAGCTGGAGTAGGGGGTGGAGTCTACAAGACTCTGCAGAGTTCTTTTAGGACATCCTTCCCCTTAACAATAGCAAAGGTGGAGGGGGAGAGTCTGGCCGTTACAGTTATCCTACAAGATCTTATCACAAGGAAAACATTTCCACTTCTGCCTTGAAGGAAGCCTGGCCCTAACATCTCCCAGATCACTTTCGAGTGAAATGAATGTCGCTGACTGTGGAAACCTGCACTTACTTCAGCTTGCTTTTCAGAAAACAAGATTTCTTTGACTCTTGTATAAAGAATTTGACCTTACATTTATTTGTTCACTGAACAAATATTGAACACCAGGAGGTGAAATACTCAAAACAATAAAATCTAGACTAGAGCCTTTGAGGAGTAAGCTAGCTTTCCCATAATTGTCTTCTTTAAACCTCCCACCCACAATGCCACAAGTGGCAGGATTTCCCCTCACCCATCTCCCTCAGTTCTGGAGACAACATTTCTCTCTTCTTAAATTACCAAGTGAAACGTCTATGCTCTTCCAAACTCCATTAAGAACTAATCATTTAAAACTGAATACATTTCCAAACTTATGTCAATGTGTATTCATTACTTACTCCAATTATTTAGAAAGCTTTCAGGATTTTTCCCTAAGTGGAAACCTTTAAGGTGCACATATTTCTTGGGAGTTTGCTCTTCCTGTGCCTCATGACTCCTTATCCTAAAGGGTTTTCTCCTTTCCAATTGCTCCACCTGTGACCCATCACCTTCCTCCTTCTACCTGCCCTAAGTTGGAACATCACCCATTTCCCCAGTCTTTTTTAACCTCACTCTCTCACCACAAGTTTGTGTTAACTAAAGTTAAACATAAACTAGGGACCCCTCTCCCTACTCCCAACCCTGTAAGCAAGCCAGGAGGCAGAACATAGCTGGTCTGGTCCTGGGAAGAGGGTGTGCCTGGGAAAGTATGTCATCGCTCTAGGCATCAATAACGTCAAGAGATGTTGACTCCACAACACACATTTCTAACTAGGCAGGTTCTCAGATGTTTTTCCAAGAAGATAGGATAAGGTTAAACTACTTTGTTTATTCTCCTCAGTGCATAGAAAAAAATTAAAGAAAAAAACATAAAACTACTACCCAAATCTTTCTTGCCTCTGTAGTTAAAATATCTTCTGTAACCTCACTACCCTTATAACAAATGCATAAAAAGCTCACACTAAGACTCTGAAATCAAAGCAGTCCTCAGAACATTCTGGAGTCTGTTTCTGGCCTTGAGTCCTCACTTTGATGCTTTAATAAGCTCACTCAAATTAACTTGTCTCAATTCACTGTAGTTGGCAGTCCTTGTACTCGGCACACACTGACTCAAAACTAACTGCCCCTCCCCAAGAAACTTACCAAAGCCCAATTGGAATCTTTATGGCCCTCAGGCTTGCTGTACAGCACCAAGAGGCTCAGAGGTCATGCGTGTCCTCTCCCACTTTCTCCTGAGGCCTCCTTCCTCCCTCCTTCCCAGTTGCTCAAGCCACCACAATGTTGACTGCTAAGCTCCCACCTCTGAGGTCTTTCCTCCCTGGTCTGGGTCTTAACTCTCCTAGTCCTCCTTCCAGGCCTTGTACTTCTCCTTCCTGCCCTCTTCCTCTTCTTCTTCCTTCCCCTCAGGTT